GAACGTTTAGAATTTAGAACCATTGTTTAGAATATTGCAAGAGTGTGGGAATTTATATATATAAATATTATATATATAATGCAAAAAAACTACTACTTACTACTTGCACTAATATTCCTACTTGGCAGTTTTTCACTTATCGTGGGTCTTCAGGGTACGGATCCCCCGCGATAAACGAGAGGCTACTGTAATATTTTTTGTTTACAATTTATATTTTTGTTGGATGTTACTTGGATCCTGTGCACAATTTCATTCCACCACATGTACCACATGAGATGTGAATGACAATAAAGGAAACCTTGATGGGTAGTTACTCATAGTTAATTGGTAGTTACTGATAATTAACTTGTAATTGCTGGTTATTATTACCTGGTAGTTACTGATAGTTTTCTGGTGATTACTGGTAATTACCTGGCATGTACTGATGGTTAACTGGTAGTTACTGATAGTTTTCTGGTAGTTACTCTGGTCACTGGGCACAACAATCAGCCAGTCTTATTGGTTTTCAAACTCACAACCTGAATGATAAGTTGAGTCCAACCTAACATCATTGCAGTGTCTGAGATCTGACTTCAGAGGTAAATGGAGCGTAAAACCTTCTCCATTGTGAGGTTGTTCAAAGAGCTATCTGCAACAGGTAAGATATTATTTATTCATAACCTATCCTCCAACTCTCACATAAAAGATTATGAACAATCACTTTACCTGGAGTCTCTGTTTCCATTATTACAGAGCAGTAGCAATAATATAAAATAAATACACGGACATTTGTAACATTTATTTCTATATTTTGCTTCATTCTCACAACATTTCAGTTTTTTTCAGACCGGTGAAAAAACAACCAGAGCCACAGTCCTGTTTGCTGACCTCAGCTCCTTCAGTCCCCCTGCCAGGCCCTCCATCTGCCCCATCTCTGCAACTCACCACCTTGAGTCCTACAGCACTAAGATCTTAAAGAGTGCTGATTTCAAATTCACCAGGGATGCAGGCTTGTGCAGTGTTCTCATGTGTTTTTATTGCCTGCTGCAGAAAGAGAAAGGCGATAATGTTTTTGCCTTTGTGTGTGTTTATTTGTAGGCAGCGTTAGCAAAATATCACAAACCAGTGGATGAATTTTAATGAACACTCGAAAAGTAACCATCAAAAGAATGCCTTGGAGTCAACCCCATTCAAGATGGCCACTACAGTTAAGCAACTTTAGCTGCTTTGTCATTAAATATATACGGAGTCAACCGTATCTGTCTGTTAGCAAAATATCTCATGAACCACTGGACAAATTTTAATAAAACTCACAGAAACAAGTTGTTGAATGTGTGTTTACAAAAGATTAACTTTTGGAGTCAATCCAATTCAAGATGGCCGCCAAAGCCAACTGACTTTAAGAAACACCAAAATGTGTATAAGCACCCAGTTTTACAGAAATTTACCTAAAACTTGGAGTGGTAGCTGAGAGTCATCCTCAACACATTCTCTGAGCACCTCAGCATGAAATTGTGCTTTAAATTATTTTCAAGCAAAAACATAATTATGTCCCGTTTCTGCACAAGATGATTCGAGTTTTAAAAGATGCATTCCTCAGGAAACGCCAGGTCCTTTGTTCCTTCTTGATGTTCAGCTCTGAAATGTGACATTTCAGGAGCATTCGCAGAGCGAGAGGGGGACAGGAAGGGGTTAGTCCTGCTGCATGATTATGAAAGCAGCGCGGTCACGTGACGTCTTCTCTCATCAGCATCATCATCAGGACAAGCTGGAGGTCTGACCTTCCTCTCCAGCAGGCAGGGGCTGAGCACGCAGCAGCAGTGCGCGTGAGGCAACACTAGGGGCGGAGTTTGACCTCCCAAATCTCCAAAACATCACTAATCCGCCTCGGACGGTCTGCTCCGGCTCAGGAGAACTCCGACACAAGGAGACATCGTGCACGGAGCTGGACGCTGCGCGCGACACCACGCACACGCACTGACGGAGAAGAGGAGCCCGCTGCAGTCAGCTGTTTCCGGGATTTCAGGAGGAGGAGAAGCGGAGGCTGCGCCTCCTGCCAGCTGCGCCTCCGTGAAGGTGAGCGCGTCTGTTTGCGGCAGAATGATGTGCGGCGGTGGCGCAGGAGGCGCGGACACGGGCACGGTGAGGCACGCGCATGTCGAGGGACGGTTAAACCTGATCATTAAAATGGAGGCTCGTGTCAGATTTATAGGCTGGACGTGGCGCGCGCTCAGCAGACAGGACCACATGAAGGAGAACAGAAGTATTTCCTTTACGCATCTTAGATCAGGATGTTGTTCCTCACGTGGGCTCCTGTTGCTCATGCATGTCAGAGCTGACATGCACTGTAAAAACTGCTGGGTTAGAACCAAACACATTTTATTTAACCAGCCCAGATGTGGACCGAACCCGGAATTACCTCAGCACCGCTGGGTGCAGCTCGAGCCACAGAGCTGCATTCTCCAGCAGGTAGAACAAGTAGTGCAGAACACAGCCCGACCCAGGAAATATTGGAGCTGGCTCAAATTAGAGAAACAAACTTCACGAGCTCTTTGTGTTCTGCAGAGTGAGCAGGATCCAGTTTGCAGACGCGGCCATGTTGGATTTTTATTTGAAAAGGACACATTTTAGGTTCCACACACAAAATGCAACTAGTGCACAGAGAGTTTAGAGCTGTGTCTGAGGTCCCCAACCCTGGTCCTCAGGTCCACTGCAGGGTTCTGCTAAACCTGATGAGCAGGGAAACAGCTTAGGACAGGACCACGAGGACCATTGGACACCTGAAGTCCTGCACACCCTACTACACACCGCCACGGTGTCACGTGAAATTTACTTGTAGCATGAAACTAACTACAGCTAAACTTGTTAGAAAATTAATATTTGAGCTGCAACAAAGTAAAAACCGTGATTTAGTAAGAGTCGGAGCCAGGAACATTGATCTGAGGTGGATGTTTTTTATTTGTTTTATCAAGAGTTAATCACAGTTTGTGTACATGGAGGTGCAGGACTTAAACCTTTACTGGGACCAGCCTGTGGGGGCGCTGTAACAGCCCCAGCTTCAGCTTCAACGTTCCAACACTTAGGGTCAGGTCTTTCAGTCTGGTTCAACTTCTGGCTTAAAGTTTCAGACAGTGAAGAAGACTCGTCCCCGACCCAACCGCCATCTGACTTACTGACCCAGTACAAACCAACACCAAACCTGAACACACCAGTGAGAACGAAGCGTGCTGCTTTATTGAGCTCATTTTAATCAGATCAGATCAACTTTATTGTCTACAGCTGTAGCAGACATTCTCCACATGTATCAAACACACACAAGAACAACCGAAACTTAGTAATAAATAAAATAAATGTCATTTAAAGGTCCGTTGGTTCATTTCAGGATTAACCTTCAGCTTTGCCAGTCTCCGTGTGAAAAAGGTAAATATTAGAGCTGGTATGGTTCTGTTATTATTTCATGCATTATTTTAACCGCAGATGGCAGCAGTGAGTTCAGACACTCATCAGGTGAGTAAATGCTGTTTCTTGAAATATATCCTGCTTCAGATGTTCCCTACCACTGCAGTGACTCAAAGTTCAGCCGCACCTTCGTTCACGGGGGAATGCTGATGTGGTGTACGATCAAAAAAGGTTAAATCAGGTCATCTGGACCAGTTTCTTTAAGGGAGAAACGTTTCGTCTTTCATCCGAAACACTTCATCAGTCAAGGTGGTACGATGCGTTTATGCGTCTTTATGCCAACGGTATGTTCAGGACTCCAGTGAGTTTAAACAGCCACAGCTGGTGTGGGTGGTGGGGACCAACAGAGCGTCAGGAGAGAAGGAGGAAAACGAGTCGTCACAAGTGACGGGCTCACTGCAGCGATAAATTCAGTCCCATCAGTGGAACTTCTGCAGCTCAGCATGAAACTGTTGCCTTCATCCTCTCTTTGTCGTTTTGTTTCTCCCCAGCTGCCGTTCGATGTCCAGTAGCTTGTGGCTGATGCTGCCCTGTGGCTGACCCTCGACATGACATCCACCGATGTCCGTGGGGGTGCGTGGGGGTGAATGGGATGGGACCCAGCCCTCCAGCTCCCATGTCCCGACATGTCCAGCTGCAGCAAGTCTCCCCCCACCTCTGGAGAAGGTAGAGGCAGGACTCAATGCTGACGTAGCTGCAGAAATTACATTTCCTGTCAAAACAATGTGGGAAAGTTGAGCTGGACGACTTTGGTGACATTTACTGAAAGCTAACCAAAACACTGGCTGAAAGTAGCCAAAATCTAGCTAGAAAATACAAGTAGCAAAACATTAGCTTTAAACATCTAAAGGCTCCTAACTTCAAGCTAAAGTAACAAACTGAAGCAGCTAAAAGCTAAAAGTGGTAAAACAGCAGCTAAAAGCTAAAAGTGGTAAAACAGCAGCTAAAAGCTAAAAGTGGTAAAACAGCAGCTAAAAGTAGAGTAAGAAGACAGAAACAGAGCGTGCATGCTGACGCAGATTTTAAAGAAAAGAACGTTTTGAAGGGATTTAAATATAAATTATTATTATATATTATATTATTATTATTATTATTATTATTATTATTATTATTATTATTATTATTATAAGGCAGCACGGTGGCGCAACTGGTAGAGCTGCTGCCTCTCAGCGAGCAGGTCCTTGGTTCAAACCCCGGTCCAGGGGCCTTTCTGGGTGGAGTTTGCATGTTCTCTCTGTGCATGCGTGGGTTTTCTCCGGGTACTCCGGTTTCCTCCCACAGACCAAAAACATGCATGTTAGGCTGATTAGTAACTCTAAATTGTCCCTAGGTGTGAGTGAGAGAGTGAATGGTTGTTTGTCTCATTTGTCTCTATGTGGCCCTGTAATGGACTTGCGACCTGTCCAGGGTGTACCCCGCCCCTCGCACAGTGATTGCTGGACATGGGCACCAGCGACCCCCATGACCCAAAAAAATGGAATAAGTGGGTAAAGATAATGGATGGATGGATGGATTATTATTATATTAAATATTATCTTTTATCAGCTGCAGGTTCTAAGTCCATGGCATGGGTGAAGAAGTTGAAGAAACCCACCGGAGGTCTGAAGAAGTCCTACCAGCCAGGCAGCATGATGTCCCTGGCGCTCACTAAAGGTCTGCTGAACGAGCCCGGGCAGAACAGCTGCTTTCTGAACAGCGCCGTTCAGGTAATAACCGTCTGAGCTAAAGAAGTGCCGCACTCATTACAAAAAGTGCCTCCGTGCACGGCAGCTGTCAGGTTTCTTTCCAGCAGCTCAGCTTTTGATTCATTTCAACCGTTTGACTCCTAAAACTATTTACCACGATGTACATAGTATTTTTTCCTCTTCTCTTGCACCGCATGAATGATTTTTGTACATTTAAGGTAAATAAAACACCAGAACCCGCAAAATAAATAGCTGAAATTCAGCCATGCCTGGATAGACTCCTGAGTTTGGAGCTAAACTTTGGCTGTTTGTGCACTCTCATTTTTCAAGATACAAAAGCTGAGATTCCTTGATGTCTTGTTGACCTAGTGAATCAGCCGAACTTCAGCTCGTTCGGCCATGACTGCTGACCGGCCGCACATTTAGGTGACTCGAACTAATTTCTCCAGTTGAGGGTTTTTAAAACCAGCTGGGAGCTTTTGGTCTGAACAGCTCTCAGAAAAACAAACAAAGTCCAGCTTCATTATTTGGTGACGGAGTCGCGGCGTGCACTGAGGGTTCTGCTCATGTTTTGGTGTTTTTTCTGTTGATGACTGCAGCTCATCGGACCTGTTCCTGTTGTCTGTTCTGATGTTTCTGTTTCCAACAAACCCTCTAACTGATGCAGAGAGCAGAAAGTGAAAGCACATTTCGGCTGATTAAAGTTTCAACTTCCGATATTAGTGCATCTCAGCAGAAGTCTCTAGGACAGGCGTTCGGTCCAGATGTTGGAAATGAAACTGGCTCGGTCTTTGAACTTGTTCTGGTGTTGGACCTTCACAGGTGCTCTGGCAGCTGGACATCTTCAGGAGAAGTCTGAGGCAGCTCTCAGGTCACTTTTGTCTCGATGACGCCTGCATTTTCTGCGCCTTGAAGGTAAAAGTCGCAGGTCGTTGCTTTCCATCTGATTTTTATAAAATATGCATAAACTAATTATATCTGCTGCTCTTCAGAGCATTTTCAGCCAGTTTCAGCAGAGCAGAGAGCGCGTCCTCCCCTCGGACAGCCTGAGAAACGCCCTCGCTGAGACCTTTAAGAACGAGCAGCGCTTCCAGCTGGGCCTGATGGACGACGCCGCCGAGTGCTTTGTACGATTCATCAAACATTATAACCAAACACTGCAGGCCATGAAAAGAAACAAACACAGATTAGATAGACTTTTTAGATTCAATTCAATTCAGTTTATTTCTATAGCACCAAGTCACAACAGAAGTCGTCTCAGGACACTGAACAGAGACATTCATATATAAAAAATAACATTATTTATTCGAGGAGCAGACTGCTTTGAATTTAACTCCATCACAGAACTCTCATCTTGAGCAAGCATGAAAGCGACAGTGGAAAGGAAAAACTTCCTCATGAGGAAGGAACCTTTAGCAGAACCAGGCTCAGGACAAGCGGTCATCTGCTTCGACCGGCTGGGTTTGAGAGGAACAGAGACACAATGGCAGGTCAAGAATCACATGTTAAGCTAAAAATAATATCAGATGAAAATTATTCAGTTTTATCAATTAATTTAAGGACATGAGGCCAATTTGTCCTCCAGTAGTCTAAGCCTATAGCAGCATAACAAGCCAACCCTAACTATAGGATTTATCAAAAAGGAAAGTCTTAAGCCCAGTCTTAAAACTGGACAATGGACAAAAATTGGAAGTTGCTTCCACAAGGGAGGAACCTGATAACTAAAACATCTTCCTCCCATTCTGCTTTCGGAAACTCTAGGAACCACAAGTAAGCCTGCAGTCTGAGAGTGAAGTGCTCTGTTAGAAAAATATGGAACAATAAGATCTCAAATATAAGATGGAGCTAGGTTGTTGAGAGCTTTGTAGGTTAGAAGTAGGATTTTGAATTCAGTTCTGAATTTGACAGGGATCCAATGGAGAGAAGCTGAAGAGAGATGATCTCTCCCATTAACTCCAGTTAAGACTCTGGCAGCAGCATTTTGGATTAAATGAAGATTTTTAAAGACGTATTTGGACACCCAGATAATAAACCATTACAATAGACCAGTCTAGATGTGATAAATGCACGAACACATTGCATTACATTTTAAAATGTTGTTGAAGCAACGAGGGAGCCAACGTCATTTCTAGTCTGAGTAATCTCGCCTCTCCTGGGCTGTATTCATTCTGATTCTGTTTGTTTCTGCTCCATACAGGAGAACATCCTGGAGCGAATCCATTTACACATTGCTTCGGACACGGCGACTGATGCCTGCTCGTCCAAATCCTGCATCACCCATCAGAAGTTTGCTTCGATGCTTTACGAGCAGGTAATCCGTGGCTCTGTGAGCTCCTGAACGTCCCTGAACAGAAGCTTTCAAACTTCTAATAGCCCAACAATTTACTGTATTCTACTTGTTTTTTTGTTTTTTTTTATTGTACCTGGTAAGAAAGTGGTCGCTCTTGTGTTGCAGTTCGTGTGTCGTTGTTGTGGAGCGTCTTCAGATCCCCACCCATTCACAGAGCTGGTTCATTATGTCTCCACAACCTCCTTATGGTGAGAACAAAAACTTTTCCCCAAATAGAAAATGGAGCTCACTGAACTTCTTTTGACTATTAAAAACATATATTTTGTGTTTATTTGTGTTCACACACGTTCACCTGTGCATGTGCTCATTTGTCTGTCAGCAAAATATCCACTAGATGGAAACTATCAGAAATTAATCATTTCTTGTGCATATACAACTAATTAACTTTTGGAGTCATCGTGATTCAAGATGGCTGCCACAGCTAATAATCTTTAGCAAACCCATAATGGTGTATATCTCAGTCAGTTCTACAGATATGGAGCTAGGTCATCCTCAACATGTAGTCCAGGTGTGAACAGATCCTACGAAATCTTTCTTTAAAACTTGAGCAAAGTGGTGTTTGACATGCACTCCTTGGAGGAAGCCCCGTTCATTTCTCACATTGTATTTTACGTCTTTCATTAACAGTTTCCTCATCATATTTTTTGTAGAAACAGAAGAGATTAAAAAGAATTAAACAAGAAACGTTAGGAAAGTGAAATACAAAACGTAACTAAACATGAAAACTACAGACCAAACGCCTCAGCCTCCACTCGTTGATGCTTGATGTGTCCCAGTTCATGGGCGCTGCCTTGTTCTATTTGTGGAACCAGAGTCTGTGCAGTTAGGATGTGAGACTATTAGCACCGCCCACCTCCGAACAAATAATGCTTTTATTTATTTTTTAACTGTAACAAGTTACAACTAAACATTCTAGAAGTGCATTTTCACGTTTTAGTTTCTTTAAATGTGCTATAACCAACCTATAGGGGGCGTCCACCACATTTTTGGCTTCAACTTCCACATTTCGTCCTTGTGTCTAATTATTAATGTTGCCAGAGGTTTTAATAAATCCATCCATCCATCCATCCATCCATTTTCTTTACCCGCTTATTCCATTTTGGGTCACGGGGGTCGCTGGTGCCCATGTCCAGCAATCACTGTGCGAGGGGCGGGGTACACCCTGGACGGGTCGCAAGTCCATCACAGGGCCACATAGAGACAAACAAGACAAACAACCATTCACTCTCTCACTCACACCTAGGGACAATTTAGAGTTACCAATCAGCCTAACATGCATGCTTTTGGTCTGTGGGAGGAAACCGGAGTACCCGGAGAAAACCCACGCATGCACGGAGAGAACATGCAAACTCCACCCAGAAAGGCCCCTGGACCGGGGTTTGAACCAAGGACCTGCTCACTGAGAGGCAGCAGCTCTACCAGTTGCGCCACCGTGCTGCCCGTTTTAATAAATCACTTTCTTCAAAGATTTCAGACGTTTCACTGAATTATTCGTAATATTTAGGGAACAGTGGTAGCTCGGTGGTCAGTGGCGTGGTTGTGTAATGCTGAGGCTGCAGGTTCAAGCCCAGGCAGCCAAAATAAAAACAACATTCACAATATTTAAATGTTAATTTAAAATCCATATGGCAATTAACAAACATAAGTATCCATAAATAATTTAGGATGGAGGAATTATTAACTATGATTTTAGCTCAAGTTATCCCTTTGGCTCTCCTAAAAACTGACATATAAAAATGGCGGACAGCAGGACTTGAAATATAAAGGTATTTATTTAAAATAAAAAGTGATTTATGTACAAGTATTTACACTTTGCACTGTGTCGTATTTTATTGTATAACACTTTGTCTCTGTTTTCTAAGTGCTGAAAAAATAAAATCGTGATATGAAAAGATAGTCATAAAATTAAAAACTTATTAATTCCAGATAAACTTAATGGCAAAAGGTTGATTAATTTATTGATGCATGAAATACACATTCAGACACAAAACGCAGTATGAATTTATTTACTATAAAAATGAGATGAGCGAAATGCAAACCAAACTTTGAGTTTAGTGAGTGTCCAGTAGAACAATAAAAAGGAAAAAGTAGAGTCCAAAAAGACTCGATTTAAATAATTTAGAGACAAGTGTCGTCAGAAAAGGGAATGCTCTCATGTTTTATGTGCTGGTTTTCAGTGTGAGGCACCTGTAAAATAAAGCTACAAACAAGTAGAGACGCCCGCAGAGTAACTTACAAAAACACAGAGTGCTGCAAACAAACACCCAGCAGTGGGACCAACCAAGGCCTTGGTCCGTTGCTAGCAGGTGAGGAGAGAAGGGAGGAAGGGAACACCTTTACATCATGTGAGCATCCTTGTTTTATCCAAGCTCAAGGCCGACTTTGTGTCAAACTAACCAGTGGAAATGTCCCTTAAGGAAATGTAGGACTCTGTCCAAGGCTGAGCGGAAAACTTTATAGAAATACAATGTTAAGGTTACTCTAGCATTTAAACATCAAATCCTCGTCCAAAGAAAGCTAACACGAGTGGTTCAGGATTTTGATTTCAGTGGATAAATGAATGCAAGTAATTGTCCTGCCGTTCTCACAAACTCACCAGAACAGGAAGAAAGCATCCAGTGATGAAAGTAACAATAAATTAGAATGAGGCGAGTCACAAAAGACATTCTGTGTCTTTCTGTGACTTTTTAATGTTGGGAAAAGTGACACGAAAAACAGCGGAATATAAATATCAGCATGAGGAGTTCAACAATCAAAATGTTTATAAGTTTCCACTGAGAAAAATATTCTCATGTTTCTAACATCGTTGGCAGATGACGCCTCGATTGTTGTGGAAAACAAACGCATCGTTCTAGAACCCGAGGATAAAGATATAAGCACAATTAACTGATGCAAAGACGTAATGTGAGAGAAAATAAGGTCAAGATCGAGGTTTCTTTATTGTCATTCTCATCATATGTGGTACATGTGATGGAACAAAAGTGTGTACACAGGGTCCCAGTTACATCCAACAAAGTATAAATTGTAAAGAAAAACAGTAATAAGATCTAAGATATGAACTAAGGAATACGCTAAACGAAAAATACACTAAGCACTAGTAGTACAAAAACCATACGCCAAACAACAGCAGCACGAACCTGAGTCTTTGTGAGCAGATAGTACGAATGAACACAGCAACATGAAATAAATCAGCAGCATAAGATCAGCAGCATGGATAATCAGAAGCACATATCAACAATCAAGCGGCATTACAGTGATTTTTTTCCCCACAGTGATAATCCTGTAAAGGGAATTTAAATAAAGGGAATAAAGAATATCCAGCTTTCAGTGTGTCAAAGATTTAAGACTATTAGAGGTTTTCAACAAACGTCTTGAACTGATGAATATCGAAGTTTTTTCATTTTTGTCTCTTGGCCGTCAGATGAGAAATAACCTTCTACTTTTTGTTCAGTGAGGAAGAAGAGATAAGAAGGTATATTTTAATCAAACCTGCCTCCGTCGTCCTATCAACCTGAGCTTGGTGAGCTGTGATTGGCTACTGTCCGACTTGATTTACGACATGTTCTGAGTCCTGGTTATCTTGAAAACAAATATATGTTTTGAGAAAGTGAAAAGACTAATCCCGACACGATTGTTACATCTGTCGACTTCAGCGCACGTTCTGTCTCGTCCTCAGCCAACAGGTGGATCGGATGCTGGGGAGGAGCGAGCGGCTCCGGTCCGACATGTTTGGAGAGCTGCTGCAGGCGGCAAACAGCACGGGCGACCTCCGCAGCTGTCCCGTAAGGCCTCGCTCTCATTTATCTTTTTCTTTATGTTTTAATGTTTGTTTTTGTTTCTATTCATGTGTTTGGTCCAGCTGAGTTTAAGCTTTAAGCTCTTTTTGTAAAGTTGGAGTAATAGTCAGTCGTTCACATCATTTTTATATAAGATAATCATAAATGAGCCTCGGTTTTTGTTGTGTTCCTCCACCTGAAGGGGCTCAAAGGAGGCTGGGCACAGCTAGTGTGAGGATATCAGAGCTCATCCCATGTCTTTTTAAAATTGATTTTATATTTGACTATCTTTAATTGACACCGGTTTACTCTTTGACTTTCTTGAAATACCCTAGATGCGGATTTTTCTGTGGGATGAGTCGCACAAGTCTTGATTGTTAATTCTTTTTATTTTAGTGAGGACATAAAGCTGTAAAAGACCTCTTTTAGGGACATGCACTCATCATGTATTTAGTCCCAATTCTTAAAATTAATAAATGTAATTTATATTAATCAACTGTGCTTTTAGAAAGTTTGGTTTTGTTGTTGTTGATTTGTGCTAAATTACTTTTTCCCATATCACCAATCTGCCCTTAAATTATGACGATTGATTTGGTTCATCTAATGTTGACAAAAGCGAAACAAACAGAACTTCTGACGGCGTCCTGTATCTAGATGATAATTTCTCACCAAGGATTGCCAACCCATATTTAAACATCTTCCATGATAGCTGCACAAGTTTAGGGAAACCTTCTGTAGGCATCTGATTGATGATGTCTAGACTCACCCTTATGGACAGGGTGAGGAGTTTGACGTTTAGCGTGCAGTCCACAGTAAAAGGAGACAGTTTAGATGATTTGAGCCTCTGACAGGAATGCTTTCTGAAGGACTCTTCAGAGGGAAATGTTTCAGATACATCCCACTAAGACGAAACCTCAGGGCCAGCCAGAAGACACTGGATGCTGTCCACACAGGAAAGGTTGTTTAAAGATGTAAAGGTTCTGGTATTTTTGTTTCAGCGTTTCATCCACATGGAAACAGCATTTTAGGAGCCTTCAAAACATCCATCCATCCATCCATTATCCATCCATCCATCCATTATCTTTATCCGCTTATTCCATTTAGGGTCATGGGGGTTGCTGGTGCCCATGTCCAGCAATCACTGTGCGAGGGGCGGGCTACACCCTGGATGGGTCCCAAGTCCATCACAGGGCCACATAGAGACAAACGAGACAAACAACCATTCACTCTCTCACTCACACCTAGGGACAATTTAGAGTTAACAATCAGTCTAACATGCATGTTTTTGGACTGTGGGAGGAAACTGGAGTACCTGGAGAAAACCCACGCATGCACGGAGAGAACATTCAAACTCCACCCAGAAAGGCCCCCGGACCTGGATTTGAACCAGGGACCTGCTCGCTGAGAGGCAGCAGCTCTACCAGTTGCGCCACCGTGCTGCCCATGGCCAAAACACAACCCTTAAAAAAAGTCAGAACCTCAACTCTAATCCGGCGTACGACATGAGAGGGTCCTCTTCTTCTTCTTGTGTTTATAATTTGCACAGTGTGTAATCTTTACGTACACATTCCACGCCTTGTTTCCTGTTTTTGTTGTACTTTTGTTCAGTGTTATGGTGCTACCTACAGACCTGGCATGGTACAACTGTATTTTGTGTCATTTTCTGCTGTTTCCATATAGCTAAAACAAACATTTTTAAAAAACCTTTGTTTCCATGTGGACAAGGTCTATAATCATACTTATATCTCACAGCGGACCTGGGAACACCTCCATCTCTGCATGAACTGTTCAACTCAAACTTAACACCCAAGTGTGGTGTGGACATCAGGAGGTGGACGGATGGAACATGCATTGTTATTGTTGGATACTGTGTTGATGATGCATCTTTCAGTAAAGGGGTACCAATTGGTTCTGATGTGGAAATTTCAAAGCACACACTCAAAGATGTATAGACAGCCTCAGAAATCAAATAAACCAAACTTTAAATAAAATGAAAAGAAACTAACATAAAATCTAGAAAGTACACAAACACCAGAAAGCATGACACTAAAAACTTGTGACTTGAAACACAAGAAAACGAACAGCACAACTCGACAATCAGTGAATCTGAACCTGGAGTACTGTTTAAGGGTTTGGGTGATTACTGAGTGAGTGCAGCTGAGGCTAATGCGCATATGAACATTGGGGAGTCATTAATCGAAGGCAAAGGCGACTGAGGGAAATAATGGTTCATGACAAGTGAAAGAAATGTGTAAACGTATATAAAGACTGGAAAAAGGACTGAATTAAAACATCAGAAATAAACTCCACCAACAGAACAAACACAAAAATCCAAAGATCATGAAAACATCTTTCTGCTGCCTTTTCATCATTCAGTTTATGCTTTCAATCCTTCTTCAGTATTATCATTACACACACTGATACTGCCGTGTTTTTGTTCCTTGTGTTTCGCAGAGCGACTGCGGTCAGAGTATCAAGATCCGCCGCGTTCTGCTGAACTGTCCGGAGATCGTCACCATTGGCTTCGTTTGGGACGCCGAGCAGTCGGATCTGATGGACGACGTCATCCGGTCCATTGGCCCGCGTTTAAACTTGTGTGGGGTAAGAAGTCATTGAGAAACACGTGACCAAAGAAGACGTAGTGTTTGTTTGTTGTGTTCAAGGACAAAGTCATTGTGATCCCAGTTTTCATGAATACTTTTATTTTGATAGGTGAGGTGAAGGTGCTGTGACCTCACATTTTCATTTCACAGTAAAACGTGATGAACTCTCGTCTCTTTCAGCTTTTTAACCGAGTGACAGATGAAAATGCCAAACGAAGTGAGCTGCATCTGGTGGGAATGATCTGTTTCTCCAGTAAACATTACTCAGCCTTCGCCTACCACACCAAATCTTCCAAATGGATGTTTTTTGATGACGCCACCGTGAAGGAGGTTGGAACGCCTGATCTCTTCACTCATTTTCTCCTATGTGTGTTTCAAGTCTTCAAATCGTTCTGTTCTTGGTCCCAGATTGGATCCAAATGGAAGGACGTCGCCTCAAAATGCACCAGGGGACATTTCCAGCCGCTTCTTTTATTTTACACCAATCCTGAGGGGAGTCCGGTGTCCAATGAGGATGCACCGAGACAAACCACCATGTGTCCTCGCTACAAGGCCCATGTAAACGGCGACATGACCAGTAAGATGGTTCTTCACTTATCACTTTTACTAAACCTAAAGCATCTGATTATTTTCCTTAATTTTATCAGCCGGCGATAATCAGGGAAAATACAGACATCGTATTTATTTCCTACTAACTTTACCTTCAGGGTATGCTCAGAAGCAAGAAGTCTAAATCTTTTTTTATTACTTTTTTCCAATAACTGATGATTATCATTAGAAAATGTAGATTTTGCCTAATTTCAGAAAGAAGAAAGCTAATATTTCTCCAAAAAGTAAATTGCCTGTCAAAGTCAAACAGAAACAGTCGAGATGTTCTGAAGTGGAGTCCTTCTGAAACGTTTTGAAGAAACAAAGTTTTATTTTGAAAGGACTCGTGAACACTGCTAATCCAAGCAGAGCTAAAGCCAAACCACTGCCATCTTAAAACAACTCCAGTCTGTGACAACAGCGCATGTGAGCTTGACAATCCTTTACTTTGTTTGACGTTACGTGACAATCCTGAAGAAATATTACAACATGTCTGAAGGAAGGTCCCCAGGCTGAACAGGAAGTGCTACAGCTAGCTTCTGCTGCAACAGTTTGTACTCAGCACTATTCACAGAATTAGATTTGTTAGCTGTGGGAAGTGAAACTGCCATCAGTGTAAAGGTTTATAAATAATATATAAATAATATATAAATAAAGTGATGAAATGTTTTATTTTTCAACAGACTGTAGTAAACTGTCTTCGATGTCTGGGAGGTTTATGAAGCTCTGAGGTTGAGACAGTAAAGTGAGTGTTTAGTTCTGGGCCGAGACGTTCTGTCAGATCTTTTGAGAAAAAGGCCCCTGTGTTCAGGTGGAACTGTGGAGAGGTGGTTAGCACCGTCGCCTCACAGCGTGACGGTCTCTGGTTCGAGTCTCAGCTGTGCAGGTCTTTCTCTCAATGAGTTTTCTCTGAGTGCTCTCATGCACTTTCTTCCAGCCCCGCACCAAATATGAGTCTCACTGATGATGCAAGTTTGTTTGTTGCTTTGTGTATATCATTGTGTGTATATCATAGTGTGTATATCATTGTGTGT